TGGCATCAACACTTCAAAGATTGCCAGAGTCTGTCTCCCGCCATCTGCTGCAGGAATTCACACTCAGGTACCAGCAGATGCTCATACACATGTAAACACAGGCAGCTCCGGTTCCGGCCAGGAGGCCCAGCTCACCTGCCCGAGGCCTCAAAAGGGGAAGCTCCTGCTTCCCCAGGACAGATCCAAGGTGAGGGCCATGCAGTCATCACCCCTAGGCTGCATCAGGGCCCCTCCAGGCTCTGCCCACTGACCCCCACCCCGGTTGCTCCCCCTGGGTTCAGATGGCCCCAGGCACCAACATCTCATCTGGGCTTCAGCCAGATGGGAGAGGGCAGAGGGCAGAGTGGCCAGGCCTGTGCCCTGTGGAAACAGCCCCAGAGGAGCCCGAAGCACATTCTAGCTGCTGCTCTGCCTGTCCTCCCTGGGGCCTCCAGTTCTAGTCAGCCTGTCCACGTCAGCTCCTCCCTGACCCCAGGTCATGTAGGCCAAACACTCACTGTCCACTACTCTGTCCCTACTGATTGACCAGCACTGGCCTGTGGCCCCTGAACAGGAGCTCACTGTCCTGACCAGGGGAGACGGGCTCCCCTGTCCATGGGCTCTCTCATGAGGAAGGAGGCATGGGGCTGGCCACTCCCAGGCCTCTGGGCGGCCAGGGCAGGGCTGACTTCCCAGAGCCGGGAAGATGCTCCCAGCACGAGACCAGAGAGAAGCAGCTCAGTGAACACATCATACAGCCTCAGTCGTAATGAAACACAGACCTCACCTACATGCACCCCACATGGCAGCAGCAAAACATTGGTTTTTCATTTTCAGATGCTGCTTTGTGTAATTATCTAGACCAAACACCTTAGTTTTGTTAAATCTAGAGTGAAGGTATCCATTTGAGCTTTCAAAGGCATGGGAAGAATTTCATATTATTTTTCATAAGTAAAACCGAACATCTTCACTTTCTTCTGTCATTTTTAAGGGCTCCACAGTTTACCATACTGTATATGATTCAGGGGAGCAGGAGACAGCTCTCCACACGGGGTTTCACCACACTAAAATGTCCATAGTTAACATCTACAGAGTGGGCCCTTTAGGTCAGGTGGGTGTCATGGAGGGTCTCGTTTTTGTCGTACTCAGTATTTGCTGAATTTTAGAAATGTTCTGTTATGAACCTGTATTGCCGTTATTATGACAAAATGAACATTGAATTTTAAATAACAACCCACACAGTCTTAGAAACATCATCAACTGCACACATATTTTTCTCCATTTTCAAAAAAGGAGGTAGCTTTGGTGCTTAGCTTCAGGGACTTTCCTTTAAAGGACAAATATTACTTTTTTAAAGAGATATCATATTTTAAAGTGCCTTTTATTTTTTATATATACTACGTCATCCTTCATTTTTGTACAATGTGCGTACTCCCCATGGAATTCCCACAACCCATCCCCCGAGCATCATTACTGTAGTCCCTGGTGCTCATCCCACCCCTGTCCTCATCCTTCTCCCTCCTCCCTACAGAATGTCCCTGCTCTGTGGTTACCTGATAATTTGATATTTACTTTATTATTGTTTGGTTTTTTTTTTCTGATCCCTTATTTGTTTTCTCCACATTCCTCTGATGAGTGAGAGCATTCAATGTTTTTCATTTTCTTTCTGGATCATTTCACTGATCATACTCCCTTCCAGCTCCATCGATGTTGCTGCAAATGGCATGAGTTTACCCTTTTTCATTGCTGAGTCGTATTCCATTGTTTAAAAATACCACCTCTGTTTGGTCCAGTAATCTGGTTTTGGGCATTTGGGTTACTTCTATAGCTTACATAATTTAAATTCTGCTGCCATAAACATAAGGATGAAGGTGTCCTTTAGAATCACTGCCTTAGTGTCCTTTGGGTAGATTCCGAGGACTGGATTAGCTGGATCACATAGAAACTCCCTTTTTAGCAGTTTGAAGAAACTCCACACAGCTGCCCACACTGATTGCACCAGTTTGTATTCCACCAGCACTGTGGGAGAACTTTAAAGGAGTGATATTTCTTGATTTGTCCTTCAAGTCTCATCTTTCTTGAGCTCTACTTAACCTATCTTCCAAAGAGAAATGACAAGTTTTCAGTTCATGATTTCCCCTCCCCAGGGGATGATCGGGGCCTCCTTCCTGCTGTGACTCCCCCCCCCACAGCTGACAGGACCCTGTGTGAGCCCCCCTGGGGTTCTCTCTTCTGTCCCTGACGCCCGGCCTACCTGGGGGTGCCCTGGGGCTCCATGGTGACACAGGCTGTGAAGGGACAGAGGACAGGGAGACACAGAGGGAGCAGAGGGACAGGCCCGGCGCTTCCTGCCTGCCCGGGACCCCAGTCTCCGCGACCCCCACATGCCCCACCCAGGAGCTCCTCCGGGGTGACTGTCCTGAGCCCGGGAGCCACCTGCTCACTCTGATCTGCTGCTCCCAGGGGAGCACAGGCCGAGGCCTTGGAGAACACTCAGTTCTCACCTGGGGTCTTCTCACCAGGGAGCCCCAATAGTGACTGCAGCTGCCCCTCCCTCTTTGAGGGACAAGTCATATGATGTCCTCACTTGGTTAGTGTCTCTCCCTACCTAGAAGCTGCAAACAGGCTGTTCTGTGTCTGAGCAGGGCCTGCCCTGGAGCCTGAGGGCCTGAGGCCCACTAGGGCAGGGGCCTTGCAGATACACCATACGCCTGGCCTGTGCTCCTTGTCCAGATATCAGCACTGAACTTTCTGCATGCTAATGGCCATCTATGGTGTAGAACCAAATCCTCCTTGATTAGAAACTAAACAGAGATGCAGTGGCTACTTCATCAGTTGTGAATTACCAGAGGCAAAGAATTTGGTTGAGCCCAAGGCCATGCCTGCTGGTCCTCAAGTGCTCAGAAACTGCCCTTTCTGGGTTAGGTCTCAGCCCCCCAGCAGGAACCAGAGCCTCTTCTTGTCTTATAGATTCTCGATGCCTCCGGGAGTTTCCCAGAGCAGATAGAGAAGCAGCCTCAAGTCCTGGGCTCTGGGCTCTGTTGATACTCAGCTCCTGGGTGCCCATCTCTGGGTGCCTCCGACACCTGAGGGAG